TATATAACTTCTGTTTATCTATGAAAAAATAGGAAAATACAAAAATGTGTAACAAATGAGAACAAGAGATCCCTAATGCCACAGCCCAGACATAACCACCATTCATGTTTTCCTTCTATTCTCTTTGCTTTTTTTAGATGCCTGTGCAAGTCCACTCCCATGAGGGCGTGTTAGAGCCCGCTGCCCTTGCTCGGTGGGGCTGTGGCCCACTCCCAGGTCTGCAGACCCTCCTACCTGAAGGTCCAGTCCCCGGCGTGGTGAAGGTACATCCAGCGTGCACTCAGTTTGCCCTAACCCTCGTAGACCTTCAAGCAAAACACGGAAACCGCGCTGTGACACGACCTCTGCTCCATCAGCTGAGGAATATCTGGCTGCCCGCAGTGAGGCCGCGTGGGAGGAAGGTGGCTCCAGAGAAGACTGACACAGACAGCAAGTGTGGCCACACTTGCTTGAAGAAGTATTATTTCACACTGACACTTAACAGATAATATGTTATAGGGGCAAAGATTTCTGGCCTATTTTAACCATTGGATCATTTTTCATGATGGACAACATATTAAAGATTAAACACTTAAAAATCAATACATGTTTTGCTTTATCTCTGCAAAGATGTTCCTCTCCAGAGCCCACGTTTGCTATGATACAAAACCAGCAGGGCTCGCTGCCTGTCGGGGGATCTCTACCTGTAGAGACGCTGGTGTGAAACAGGAGGAGGATGTTCAGAAAGCTCGTAGCTTATAAGCAGAAAAATGTGAAGTGCGCTACGATTATGAAACGACACTCTACTCACATAAAATCCACAAGCTGCAGCCATGTACGATTGCCCTGCGTGTGTAGGAACTAATAAATATTGAGTGGGTACATGAAGAAATGAACTTTTAGGGAAGACAAACTGGTGATCAAAATAGCAGCGCACCAATGGCTCTCGTCCCCCCATCTCCGTCCTCCGGGTTGGGAGGTGCTTGGCAGGGCTGGAGGGCAGAGATGCGGTACGCTGTGTGAACGGATCCTCACAGCACGCTGCCAATCCTAGAGTTCACCTGATCCTTTCCTTTGCTAGAACTTCTGAGGGCCCAGGTAAAGAATTTTCTCAGAGCAGATACAACTGGCTTTCTGGACCGTGGTGAAGCGTCGGCTTTCACGGTCTGGCTTATTTTATCCTCAGGGAGGGAGCTTCGTCCAAAAAATCTTGCCACCAGATCTTCCTCTGCAACTGCAGAGAGCAGGTCGTTTCTGCCCAACACCCCACCGCTGGGAAACCCCACAGTGACCATACCTGGCATGCCAGAGCCGCCCGAGGAAACCCAAGCACCGTGGGACGGGCGGCAGCTCTCAGTGCACGATCATGCGCACCACACCCCCGAGGCTGCCTGTGGGGATGAGAGGGATCTGTCAGAGTCTGTGGACGCCCTATCTCTCTTATATAAAAAAGTAATAGATCACAACCTACAACTCCAGGTGGAAAAATGCTGACATTATCAGCATATGGGATTTTGTAGATTCTAGACACTACACAGCCTTGTTTGCAGTCATCTTAGGATAAAGGGAGCAGACTGTCAATTGGATATGACTTGTCAAGGAGGGGCAGGTTTGTAGTGGCCGGGGAGCTGCTTCCTGAAGTGTCCTTTTAGAGCCCCATTGGGAGCTCTGGTCTGTGCTACTAGTGTCTAGAAGGCAGCAGCAACCTCAGATACTGGAGGAATCAGAAAACCATTCAGCAAAAGCATCCTTCAGTATGCTGACCTCCTGTGTCAGCCTGGGCTGCTCTTTGTGCTTAAGCTTGCTAAAGTACAAGCTGGAAAATTTGGGCTGATGTGCATGTGAAAGAAATATGCTCCTTCACGTGATGCCATTTCCAAGAACACCTTGAGATAGTCAGCAGAAACATGATAGGTGGATTTTAAATTGAAATCATATTTGTCCAAGCCAAGTACAAGAAGCACTTTTTCTTAGTTCTGTCTCTTTAACTATATCTAAATAAAGCCTATTTTGTAAATAAATTCTTTGGCCACTCTGCCAATTGCAAATCTCCTACAGGGACCATCTTCGGAAGTCCTGGCTCCCTCATTTTTCTTCCTGATACAGTTACAGTGACAACCGCTGCCCGACATCCCCTTCCTCTTGCACATTCTTTCTTCCCTCTTTCGTCATCCTTTAAATTTTCCCATGTAAAACTGTGGAGGTTTTGCCTTTTTCATGTATCCTTACAACAACAACAAACTTGAAAAGCCTGTTGGGTCCGAGAGGATGTATATCTTTGTGCAATGTTTTGAAAGGTCTGGCAGCGTTACAGCCTTGCTTACACACACGGCTCCTGCTCCGTCAGGACCTTGGCCAGCACCTGCTCAAAAGCCCTCCACCCTGCCAGCGGACTTAGATGTAATCTTGGGGTGAATCCGACCAAGAGAATTCAGAGTTTTCTTGTTTGAGGGCGAGTCACTTCATCCTGGTCACTTCATTCTGTCCCTTGTCACCCCAGGTGTGGTACCTGTGAGAGTCGTAGAGTCTCAGGCCGCCTCCCAGACCCACTGAACCGGAATCTGTGATTTAATAACATCACTGGTGATTCCTGTGCACGTTAGTCGACAGTCTGGGGAGTAGAGGAAAAGCAGTGGTTGCTGTATTTTAGCATCTCCAAACCGAGACTTGTGGTCCGACAATGGGGACATGTGTTTTAATGTGGGCAACTCGCGAAAAATCCTGGCCGTGCGATTGGTGGGGTGTAAGCTCCCCTGCCCAGCCAGGGACCCCGTGCAGGTTGGCGTTGGGCCAGCCAGGCCTCTCCTGACCTTCAAGAGTCAGATCCGAAACAGAGGCCCAGGCAGGAGTTGGCCTTTGCTTTCTGCAGAACTCTGTTTTGTCATCAAAGCTGGCCAGTGACCGATGCCCTTCTAAAGGCGTCTTGCTTTCCATCCATAATTCCCCATTTTGGCCGCATGGGGGTTTTGCAGGGCGTGGAGCATCTCTGAGCTGAAACGGCTCTGCACGCTAACAAACGCCGTCTGGCTCTGGCGTTTCAGGGCACGTGGGGGCGCCGCTGCCTTGCAACCACATCAAGCTCGTGGACGTCGAGGAACTGAACTACTGGGCCTCCGAAGGAGAGGGAGAGGTGAGCTTCAGGGTTTTCCCTTAGAGGCTGCGGGCGCTCGTGAAGAGTAAAAGCAAATGAACAAAAATAGGAGGGATGGAAGTATTTTCCCTTCACCTGTTAATAGAACTGCTTTAAATTACGGGTTCATTTGACTGAACTAGATTCAGCGTCTCCTGTCCTGCGTGTGAGGCAGTCCCTTACGCTGGGACTGGGTGGCTGGAAATCAACATTTGGAATTCCTAAACTTTAAAGAAATCCATTTTCTCCCCTTAACTGCCACGGTCTGCCGCTGTGTGGCCGGTCCTGGGGGAAACACGGCCCTGTGCTAAGAGACCAGACGGGGCAGACAGCGCCGGCCCACACCCGCCCGCTCCTCGGGGGTGGGGGGAACCCGACTGCCTGGTGAGGATGCCAGGGACTGGGGTGTCGCTGGCGGAATTGACCAGCCATCGATACTTGTGACGAGACCCATCGAGAGTGTCACAAAGCAGCGTGCGGCCAAGCGGGGGGCTCCTGAGGAAGGAGAGACGGCAGTGGGGTGGGGTGGCCGGCAGGGAGGGGCGGAGGGGAGGACGCTGCTGGAGAGCAGGTAGGAGGCGGTTCCGACGGCTGGCGGCTTCCCCGACCTCTGTGTCCCCCACGCCATTCCTGCCTCGGCTTTCCCGATGGACACCGTACCTGGTCCTCCACACGCCTGGGGACGGCCTCCGTCCCTGCACCCCGAGGCTGAGAGACACCATGGCTGTGTCCCCACAGATATGTGTGAGAGGACCAAACGTGTTCAAGGGCTACTTGAAAGACGAGGACAGGACCAAGGAGGCCCTGGACAGTGACGGCTGGCTTCACACCGGGGACATCGGGAAGTGGCTGCCGGTGAGTGTGACTGGAGCTGCGGGCTGCAGGCGCTGCGGCTGTGGGAGGGCTGGGACCTGGCTCACCGAGGCAGGAGGCTTCTCCATGTCTTCCCTGACAATTCGCCACTCAGGAGCGCCTCTGCGGACGGGAGGCTCTTCCTCACCTGCACCCAGAGCGCCCTTCTCTGTCTCTGTCCCGTGAAGGCGGGGAGGCACCTGTGCAGGAGGCTGTAGCTGGGGTCTCGGAGACTGACTCCTCCCTATGCCTAATGGTTTCCAGAAAGATCCACTCGAGTGGACCTACAGGGGCCTAGGCTCCTAGTGGCTGTCCAGTAGGAGTCCTGGGGGCCTCTGCTGGATCTTTGCTACATGCCAGGGGACAGAGAGGCTGCTCTTTGGGGGTGAAGGCGGTAGCTGGGCGGGAGGCCCGAGTGTGGTCTAAGGGAATGAATCTGAAGATGCTGGTGAGAAAAAGGACAACTGGAGCAAGGGCCTGGGTGAAAGCAGTGCCTGTGTGAGGGAGGTGCTCTGAGGAGGAGGAGGAGGTGAGGACAACCTGTTGCTAGGTGTGAGGGTGGCAGAGGTGGCAGGGGCTCACTGCTAAGGGAAGGACAGTGGGCGCTCGGGGCCCAGCAGACTCGGGTGCCATCGCCCTGTGGTCTCTCCAGCTGCATGACAGAGACAGCAGGGCGAGAACAGGTGGGCAGGGTTCGGCTGGGGGTAGGGCCGGAGCGACGGCGCTGTGCATGAGACCGTGAGGGGTCAGGGCTGGGGGGCGTCTTCTTACGAAGCTGTTTGTTCAACTCTCCAGACAGGAACTCTTAAATTATCGACGGAAAAAGCACATATTTAACACTTGCTCAGGGGAGAGTAATGTGCGCCCGAGAAGATTGAGCAACATCTAATCGAGCCCAGCCTGGGCAGGTCTATGTCCATGGGGACGCCTAAAGATGAGCCTGGCTTCCCGCATGTCACCGGGCCTGCTGAAAATTCCAGATTAAATACTGTTAGTTCTAGTCAGACACCAGCCATTCTCCTTTGCATTTCAATCATGAAAGAAAATTCTATTTATATCATTTATTTAAAGTTTTATTTTTGAACAGCATCTCAACTCTGTTGCCGGCTGAGTGCTGTGGTGTCAGCCCTCAGCTCACAGCAACCTCAAAACTCCTGGGCTCAAGCGATCCTCCTGCCTCACCT